CGAACAACCAATCAAACTTAAGATAAGAGCCTTCGCTTGAGCCACAAAATTTGAGCTACGAGACATTGTCCTTACTTTTTCAAGATAGGACATTAATTATTATGTTTGGTTTTAATTTTCTGAATTTAATTTTTTTTAATTTTAATTTTAATTTTATTTTTTGTTTTTAGTGAATATTTTTAAAATTTTAAGTAATTTTTTTACTTTATTACATGCACCTTATTTAGATGTATCTAAAAAGTAAAATATTTGTAAAAATATATATTTTTAAAATCAATAAATACACAAAAATATATTTTTTTTTTTTTAAAAAGGAAAATAATTTTTTTTATTTTTTGAAAAAAGTGAATCCGGAAAAACCAAACTAAACAATGTTATTTTGAAAAGTGATTTATGCTAATGAGGTGTTTGAGAAATAGGTTAGAGACAAAAATAAAGATAAAATAGGTTAAAATAATTAATAAGATAAAATATTACATCTAAACTATAATCATTTCCTTTTTTTTTCTCATAATTATCAAATTAATTACAAGAAAGAAGTTAACCAATTTTTAAAAGCGGAATTTTTTTTTAAGGTCCTTGGTATTAAAATCTTTTAGCGTAAAGGACACTCAATATTTTCATAATGTCTAAGGTCCCTCAAAATCGATTCAGAGAAAATTCGATCTAGAGAATTTCTCTGAACAAATCACAGAGAAAATTTCAAATTTCTCTGGACAACAATGAGGACTAGTGCTCTGTTTCAGAAAAAATTGGGTTAGTCTAGAGAAATTCTCTGGTTTGGACTGAATTTTCTCTGGATTGAACTCAATTTTCTCTGGGTTGATCCAGAGAAATTCTCTAGTTTGGACTGGACTAGTGCTTTGCTTCAAAGAAAATTGGGTTGGTTGAGAGAAATTCTCTAATTTGGATTGAATTTTTTTTGGGTTAAACTCAATTTTTTCGGGTTGGTCCAGAGAAATTCTTTGGTTTGGACTGAATTTTCTCTGGTTTGGTCCAGAGAAATTCTCTGGTTTATATTGAAATGTCTCTGGATTGATTTGAGGGACCTTAGACATTCTTTCCTTAGCATTTCATCAAACATCTTCTTTGCTAAATCCATGTTCCCAGCTCTGTACATATTTTGCATATTTTCAAAAACAAGTTTGTGCAGAATCGGAATCAAGTATTTTTCTTTGATAAAATATGATCATTTGTTCAAATTTGGAAAATAATATAACAAAATTATTTTGAGGGACCAAAAGGACTGAGAGATTTGGAATTATTCATAAAGTGGTAAGAAAGCCCAAACCCTAGCTGGTTTTCGCTCCTCTTCGCGCTCTTCTTCTCTTACTACCGCTGTTGTTTCCTCTCCTCCTCCTCATCTTCTTTTGACGGTGCCGGGAAAGAAGGTGAGAACAATTTCAAATACTGTTGCAAAGTTTGGTTCTTTCATCTATGTGGTCTCTATTTTGGATTTGTTTTGTATATTTTGCTGAAGATCAAAAAGAGAGAAAGAGATAGAGAGTCAAATTTATCTAATCTGATATATGGGTGTGTGTTTAGTGATCTTAGACATCAAAAAATAATATTGTAGATCTTTTTCATTACTAAAAATGGAAGAAGGACCTTAGCCTCTGTTTGGGAAGAAAAAGCCCAGGCTTTTTTGAAAAACGGGACCTCTGGGTATAAAACTAAAAAAACTGTGGACCTATTGAACTATTAAAAATAAATTGGGATTAGAAGGGAAATAGATCCTCTACATAGGACTACATGGTAATTTTTCCAAAGTCAAAAAGCCCTTCCCAAACCAGGCTAAAATAGCCCAGGCTAAAATAGCCAAAAAGCCAAAAAGCCAAAAAGCCAACCCACTTCCCAAACGGAGGCTTAGACTAATTTTTCTTTTTTAAAAATAACTTTTTAATCAGATTAAAATAATCAAAAAAATTAACTAAAACAATCAATTTTCTAAATGCGACCAACATATGGGGTGTTTTGGGTACGTCGTAAAAAGCCAGTTTTTTTATTTTTTAGCTTTTTTAGTCAAAAAAGTCACAAAAATAATTAATAAAGATAAAATAATTAAAATAATTTATAAAATAAAATATCATATTCAAATCATAATTATTTCACTTTTTTTCTCATAATCATCAAATTAAATATAAAAATCTAAAAATAAATTTTCCAAACATAATCTTTTTTAGTGATTATAAAATAGTTAAAAAAAAATTAAAAAACCAACACAACTTTCCAAATGAGTCCAATATATAGAGTTGAATTACCTCCACTTTACAACTCGGATAAGAGGGTGTTGCTACTCTTGAGATATTACGAATCCTATTTTAATGACATAAGTTGTTCATTTTAAAAATAGATAGTACTCTTATACAAATATCAAAAGATTACAAAATTATTAAAAAATATAGAGTAATTTACAAATATACTTCCATGCCAAAAATCCTCTTATGGTGAAGTAGGTTAAAAGCAGATGGTGAATGATAAAAGAGATAATTTCACATAAGTGAACATTTGAAAAAGTATTTTTAAATTAACGTGAAATTATATAAATATTAAAAAGTAAAATTATAAGATTTCTTTATGAATTTATAATTAATTTTTGAGATTGAAATGAGATGTAAATTCTCTCCAGTATATATATATATATATATATTATTAAAAGTATTTTTTTTTTATTATTTAAGTAGCACATTATAAGAGCTTATTTTTTTATTAGAGTTTCGCGTCAAACATCAACATGTATTTTTTTTATTACATATATTTACACAAACTCAAATTTAATTTAAATTATATTAATTTTATTTATTTTATATGGACTCTATTTAATAAATATTTATTTTATGTATATTTTTATGATAAATTAAGATAATCTACAAACTCAATATCAATTTTGCATTTCATGTTTTTTTTCTTAATTTTTTCAAAGGTATTAAGATTTTTTTAATACTAAATTGTCTTCTTCTTTTTCTTTTTTTCCCCCTTTTTCTTTCTTCTTATTTTTCATGTATTATTCTATACCCAATACAAATTCTATATTATGGATTTGTAGTTTAAATTATATAGTGCTATATATGAAATTATACATCATTTCCTATATTATTTTGTATAATCACAACTTACAAGGGGAAAAACCAACCCAACAATGATACTTTCGAGTAATCCTAAAGTTTGACTTTATTGTTTACGGTACTTTTTTAATAGTTGAACAATAAGTTCTTTTATGTTTTGACATCATATTAGAGATGGTTAATCACTTCTCACACTGAGATATATCTATTGTTTTGATGTTTTCATAATTTTTCTTTTTAGGTTTAGATGTTGTTATGTGATTATTTCTTAGTTAATTGTTGTTGAATTTTTTTTATATAGTTGATATTTTAATTTAATTAAGAGTGTCTATTTTATAATATCATAATTTAATATATATCATATAAAATCATTATATGATAATCTAACTACAACATACTCATATATAATTTTTTTAATAGATTTTATATAATTTTTATTTTCCAAATAAATATAAAACAAAATTAAATTGTTAGAATTATTTTTAGTTTTATATTACTAATTCTTCTTATAATTTAACGAGTATTATTTTTAATATCAAACTGAGTATTTATTTTACTATTTTATAATTTAGTATATATCATACAAAATTATTATATAATAATTACACTTTTATAATACGATAAAACTAAAATTATCAAAATACATAAATAATTTAATTAAAATTAATATATATAAGTATTCAAGTAATAATTTTATAAAATGATAACGTCAATATTATCAAAATAAATAATTTAAATCATATTTTAATTTTAATTTAAAATTAAAATTATTTTTTTATAACACATATTATACCATCAAATATTTTAAAAAAATAATAGCACATATATTATACGAGTCAATGATTAATAATAATAAATAGCAAAGCAAAAGGTAAAATATTAATAATCCGTTTGGCAAGAAAAAGCCCAGGCTTTTTTGGCTAAAATAGCCACAAAAAATAAAATAGGCTATTTTAGCCACAAAAAACAAAACATCAAATCCAACCCATAATCATTACAATCCTCTCTCACAAAAAAAGTCAAAAAAGCCAAAAAGCCAAAAAGTCCTTCCCAAACCAGGCTAAAATAGCCCAGGCTAAAATAGCCAAAAAGTCAAAAAGCCAACCCACTTCCCAAACGGAGGCTTAAGTAAAATATTATGGGTATGTTTGGTGTGAGTTTGGGAGATGAGTTTTAGAGATAAAAAGTACAAAAAGTTGTTTAGTTTGGTTTTTTTCAAAAGATGTTTTGAAAAATTATTTTGAGAGAGAGTTTTGAAAAAAGTGATTGATTTGATGTGTATGAGAGAGAGATTTGTTTGGAAAACTTGTAAACCAAACAAGTTTTGAGAAATTTTTTAAAAAAAATTTGTTTGGTTTGATTACTTTTGAAAACTTATTTGTAGAGAATTTTTTTCAAAAATTTTTAAGAAACACAAACCAAATAAGGTCATATAAATCTCAAATTTTTTATTAAATAAATAATTTTAATTTACAAAATTACAGAAACACGCTCATATAATAGTTAATTATTTATTTAGTAAAAAAATTAGGCTCCGTTTGGTAGAGTTTTCAAAATCTAGTTCAACACTCACTTTTGAGTGTGGTGTTTGTTTAGGGTTTTTAAATCATAATTCTACACTCATTTCTCAAAACTCAATTCAAAACATAATCATTACTTTTCAAAACTCATAACCAAACACATAATTCAAAACTCTTTTCAAAACTCCATTCAAATCAATATTTTAAAAATATTTTAATTTTGTTAAGATTTTAAATATTTTAATATTTAAATATGTTACGATTTTTTTAATTTTTTAATTTTTTTAATTTTTTGAATATTTTTAAATATTACGATTTTAATTTTTTAAATTTTAAAAAAAAAAAAAAAAAAACTACTGGTCTCATCCAAATAAAGCCATAGCTAGTAATCACCCATCCTATTCTTATTAATTAGAGAGAGAGAGAGAAAAACAATGTGAAAGACTAATTGAAAAGGAGGTTTACAGATACAGTAGTAGTAGTGAGTGAGTGAGTGAGAGAGAGAAAGAAAGAAAGGCTGAGAAGAGAGCTCAGAGCTGTATTGTTGCAGGTTTCGTGCCAGAGCTTGGCAGAAGTCTTTTAACTTTTCTTCTCAATAATTCTCTCTCTCTCTCTCTGTGGTTCTTACGGTGCTTTGCTGGCTAGTATTTACACACCAGTAAAGTGTTTTCTATCTCTCTCCCTGTAGTCTTTTATCTTTCTCTGTATTCGAGAGAGAGAGAGAGAGGATACTTCAATTGCTCACTGTATTTAGCAATCCTCCCTGCCACAAAGGATGTGATTGAACAAGAAAACTCTTCGTGAACATATATTATTAAAAATTCTCTCCCTTTCTTTCTATTCATATGCTAGTATTTTTATCCATTCCCATTCCCCATTCCCATTCCCTGGACTGTTTCGTTTCAAGTGTCGGTGGCGTTTCCATCCTACTCCTCTGCTCTCACACCACCCCACCAGTACAAGGTCACACGGCGTCCTTGAAATCGAGAAAATTTGAATAAATACAGACACTTTGGCTTGGCTGTCCCGTCGCGACTCTCAATGGTGGTGTGGTGGTAGTTGTTGAGATTGAATGTTTGAGATATTATTAGAAAAGAAAAAAAAAAAAGTGACTTTCTCAGCGAGGAGTGAGCAGCAATGGCATTTTCTCAGCGAGTGAGGGTTCTTGTGCTCTTTCTGGGTTGTTTAAGCTTCTTTGGCTTTGTACTCTCCTCAGACGAAGGTGAGTGACTGACTATTTTGAGCTGCTGCATTGCTCTCTCTCTCTCTCTCGTTTTGATTTCACTCTTCTTCTTTCATCCCCCCCCCCTTTCCCGACGCTCCTGCTCTTCAGTCTCAGCTCCCAAGGTAAGATTTCTGCCTCTTCCTGTCGTCTTTATAATCTGAGGTTGGGTTTTCTATTATTTTAATCAAACCACCTTTCCTTTTCTTTTTTAATATTATTATTTTTGTTTCCCCCCCTTTCTTTATCGCTTAAATGCCATACATGTAGCTTCCAAGCGTTTGTCTCCTTTATGCTGCATGCATTTGTTTGTTTTTGTCGTTGTTGTTTCAATGTAGCTCAACACTGCGTATGCTAAATATAAAGATTTGTTTCGATTATGGAGTAGTTGTTGTTTTAGTGTTTTCTCCCTCATCTCCCTCATCTCTCTCTCTCTCTCTCTCTCCATATATATATATATATTTAAGATCTATATACAAAATGTATATTTGGGCTGAAAAGTAGGTATATGATTGTTGTTTGTTGGAATGGAAGGGGCTACGCTATTGGAAATGAAGAAGTCATTTAGGGATGTGGATAATGTGTTGTATGACTGGACAGATTCACCATCTTCAGACTACTGTGTGTGGAGAGGGGTAACATGTGACAATGTCACCTTCAATGTCATTGCACTGTATGTGTTTCCCTTCCCTTTGTTAACACTTCATTACCTAACATTTCTTTTTCTTTTTTCTTTTTTAAAGTCTACAAGACTTGACTTCCTTTCATAGTGGTTCAATTCAACTATGGTTATGAAATCACATACTATTACTCTTGTCGGTTTTGATGTCCTTAGCATTTTCTTTTTTGGGTTTCATGGTGTTCAAAATGTTTTGACTTTTCGGTTGGTTATTCGAACGTTGTAGCAATCTCTCAGGTTTAAATCTTGATGGGGAAATCTCACCTGCGATTGGCGACCTTAAAAGTCTGCTCTCTATGTATAATTTCTTCACTTGTATTGTACCCTTCTTCTTTCTTCTCTATTTGTCATTTTATTTGTACTGAATTTTTTCTGTACAGTACATCAACTTTAATGGGTTTTATTTTGGAAATGATTATCATTGCACTCTCTTTTGAACAGTGATATGAGAGGAAATCACCTCTCAGGACAGATCCCCGATGAAATTGGTGACTGCTCCTCTTTGAAAAGCTTGTAAGTATTTTATATTTTTGGAGACAATAATTCAGTTTTGCCACTAGTCTGCAGAGTTTGAAGCTCACATTCACAGAGTTTTATATTACTCTCTGGCGATATCCATTTTATCTACTATACACCAATTGATATGAAATCTGTTATTGTTAGGGACCTATCATTCAATGAGTTATATGGGGACATACCGTTCTCAGTTTCAAAGTTGAAACAACTAGAACACCTGTAAGTCTCTTGACAACCTCATGTCCATGTTTAGTCCCTTACTGCGCTAATTCTGTCTTGTATAATTTTTTTCTTCCCTTCTTTGGAATGGGTCTCCCCAGAATTTTGAAAAACAATCAGTTAATTGGTCCAATTCCCTCAACCTTGTCCCAAATTCCAAATTTAAAACTCTTGTAAGTCCTCTTTCTCCATTCTCTTCGCATTTAATTTCTATCTAATTTTAGAATGATGACTGAGATGCATATGTTTCAATATATTTATTCCAGAGACCTTGCACAGAATAAACTGAGTGGGGAAATACCTAGGCTTATATACTGGAATGAAGTTTTGCAATATCTGTGAGTATACTTCTCCTTCCATTTTCTCAGTTATCTTTTCCATATTGGCACTGTTATGATTTCCTATGTTTTTCACATTGTGAGTCGAAATTCTTACGAATTTGTGCCTATGTATGTTTTTATTCTCAACTTAAAAGAGGTTTGCGTGGGAACAATTTGGTTGGTACTCTCTCTCCTGACATGTGTCAGCTGACAGGGTTGTGGTACTTGTAAGTTATTGATACCTTCATTCTATTTCTTATTGATCCTTGTGTTTTCTGTATCTTGGGTCATCTTGTGATATATTTTACCATTTTGCTTCAACATGCAGTGACGTAAGAAATAATAGTCTGATTGGTAGCATCCCTCAGAACATAGGCAACTGCACCGCCTTCCAGGTCTTGTATGTATACCCTCTAATGCAATTGCGCCAAATTCTGGATAAACTCTACTATGTGTAGTCCAAGAATGTTTAATCTCTTTTGATTGGTAGGGACTTGTCTTATAATCAGCTGACTGGAGAGATTCCTTTTAATATTGGGTTCTTGCAAGTCGCTACATTGTATGTGTATAGAAGTCCAGTGATTTAATTTCTTATGGCTTATTTACTTAAAAAATTGCTCTGAATTTTATTTTGCATGCTAGATCTTTGCAAGGTAATCAACTCTCAGGACAAATCCCATCGGTGATTGGCTTGATGCAGGCACTTGCTGTGTTGTAAGTGCTTTAATTTTGCTGTTTCCTCAATCTGGTGTTTTTCACAAAATTGAATTTATTTGAGGGGAGCTTTATGGAGTTTTACTAACTCAACAGACCCGGTGTTTAATGTTTTGTTTGTCTTATAACGGCGTCGTTATCCTGATTTTGATGCAGAGATTTAAGCTGCAACATGCTGAGTGGACCTATCCCTCCTATTCTAGGAAATTTGACTTACACGGAGAAATTGTGAGTATTTTTGCTTTGTAATTCTTTCAATTTCCTTCATTTGACTTACACGGAGAAATTGTGAGTATTTTTGCTTTGTAATTCTTTCAATTTCCTTCATTTTCTTGATTGATTTACATTTCAAAGATGCATATGTCATTTTGAAAATAGTTGATAGTCTTTTGCTACATAAGACAAATTGTTGAATTGCCGTTAAACTTCCATTCATCAATTTATATTTGTATTAATTTAATGTGAACAACAAACAAGATCATTACATTTTTTTTTTTTGGGTAAGTACGAGATCATTACATTACATGATACATAAAATGTATATTCTACTCAGTGATCTAATTGTCAACTTTCTAATTCCGATATCGGATGTTGTAGGTATCTGCATGGTAACAAGCTGACTGGGCCCATTCCCCCAGAGCTCGGAAATATGACAAAACTTCATTATCTGTACAAATTCTTTTTCATTATCCAAGCCTGTTTCTGTTAATTGATCTCTATTGATGTTTCTTTAACTGGAAATATTGTGGAATATATATGCATTTTGTCTTGGACAATCAGACTATGATATTAAGATCTCATGGCTAGAATGAACTACTCATGGTCTCTTCTGCCATCAGCCCTGTTTGAGGGGTTGGTTGAGACTTGGAAGCAACATTGTTGTGCATCACTTCTGTGATAGGAATGCAATTTCTTGTTCATCAGGTTTTTGTTTTGTAGGGAATTGAATGACAATCAGCTCACTGGGCCTATTCCACCAGAACTTGGGAAGCTCACCGACTTGTTTGACCTGTATATTCTGTTTTTCTTAATGGCTTTGTTTGGAGCAGTTTTTGCTTTTCACAAGCCAATTACTAACACGGTATTCTTGCAGAAATGTTGCTAACAACCTCCTTGATGGGCCTATACCTTATAATGTTAGTTCATGCACAAATCTAAACAGCCTGTAAGCTTTTAACCTTGCTCTTGTTGCTTTGTCTTTTTAACCTTGAACTATGTGAATGTGGTAGTTGACCCATTGATTTGATGGTAGCAATGTGCATGGGAACAAGTTGAATGGAACCATCCCACCTGCATTTGAGAGGCTGGAAAGCATGACATATCTGTGAGTTCCATCCTTCATATTTTTCTTAATTTTGAGAAACCTTGCTTGTAATATAGGAGCATGCAGTTTTGTTGAACTATAGAAGATCTTCTCAAGCCAATCAGTTCAATGTTCCCAATCGTCCTGCATGTTCTCATTGGATGTCTTGGAAAAAGAAACTTAAGCTTGTGTTTCCATTGTTGCCATCTTTATACGATCTCAATGGCATCCCTGTCTCACCACTAAAATTGAGCCATCCTGTGGTTTTAATCTAATGCCTGTCACGATGTTAATGAGATCCATTAAGCCTTGATGTGATACTTGCCGACATAAGATGATAATCTGCAATACAAAACATTCATTTTTCATCAAAAATAATTTGATGAAAAAAATTGGTAACACAAAACACCTGGATTTATCAAACAGTTTAACAAAAGCTTACTATATATACCAAGTGATTAATAAATCTACTATATATGCAATCTGTGTTGCTTGAACTCTTCTAGGTGCAAGTAACTACTACTTTGAGTTGGAGATGTGACGTGACGTGACGTGACCTTTTGGGGAATGGTATGAGATATGGGTCTGGCATGTTAAATCAGACTGGCTTAGAATAAGTCTCCATTAGTATGATAATTATGGTGACATGGTTGCTTAAAAAAATGAGTCTAGTGTCCTTTTTTAATATACTATATGTTTACACATACACATCATTTATCTTAAGAAATAAAACAATAATATTAACAAAAATAAATATTCAATTGAGTTCTGATGTTTTCGTCATGGGAATTAGATGATAACTGCTTGTTTCCAACATATGTACCTAAGTCTATGCAACATATTTAACCATGTTGGCTTGTTATTTATCAATAAGAATATGTTTTTCATTTTTGGGAAATAACTAATTAATATTGAAAAAAAAAAAACTGTATATGTGTCAGCCATTATTCACACAACTATCAGGCGATGCAATAAAACTTAATGATAAGCAACTGCTTGTCTAAGCTAAGTTCATTTCCATAGATGTATCTTTTGATTCTGTTTAGTCTAGTAGTTTTCATGTGGAAGTATCTCTCTGGAAATCACTAGGCCATTATTTACACAACTATCAGGTGATGCATGTAAAACGTAATGACGTGCATAGTCTCAGCAAAGCTAAGTTGATTTACAAAGATGTATGCATTTTTATGTTTTTGAATTTTCAAACCTATGCAATGAGTAATTGGTGCTTATCACAGTTCCAATTATCTTTATTTTCATACCTATGCATTGAGTAATTGGTGCTTATTACAGTTCTAATAATCTTATTTACCATCTTTAGGAATCTCTCCTCTAACAATTTGAGGGGTCCTATTCCAATTGAGCTATCACGGATTGGCAATTTGGATACTGTGTAACTACTTAAAACACTTTTGTTTCTGTAATCTCTTTATTGTTCATATTTATCTAATGCAGCTTTGATTTTTGACTTTATTAACATATTCTTTGTTTTTTTGTCAGGGACATATCAAATAACAGGATTAGTGGTTCCATTCCTTCTTCCCTTGGTGACTTGGAACATCTCCTGAAACTGTGAGTTTAACCATTTGGTGATTTCTGGTCTATAAATTTTTTATTATTGCTCACACTCTCAATTTCATTGTGCTAGGAATTTAAGCAAGAATAATTTGGTAGGGTTTATACCAGCTGAATTTGGTAATCTAAGAAGTGTTATGGACATGTAAGGAATGATTTACTACAAATTATGGATATTACTCTACTTTCTTTCTTCAATCTTCAACTCTGTCAATCATAATTTTGTATTGCAGAGATCTTTCAAATAATCACCTCTCTGGTCCGATTCCTCAAGAACTTGGTCAGCTTCAAAACCTCTTCTTGCTGTAAGTTATTTTCCCCTGATTCATACTTTGCCTATAGGTTGCTATATTTGTTAATAGTGCCCGGTGCACAACAGGTGAATGTCTGTCAAACCTCTTAGTTGCCCAAGATTTTGATATGATGAAGAATAAATGACCCATTGGCTGTATAGGTTGACATTTTTATGAGGATGTGTTTCTTGCACAATATCCCTTTTTGTTTGAAGCTTCTCATATGCATTTTAAGTGACGTGTCATCAAATTCTTTTACAGATATATATTGTTTTTGGGTTTTTATGTGATTATGCTGTAGTTTTCCATTTGTATCCATTTTAATCTGTGTCTCCAATATGGCAGGAGAGTAGAAAGCAACAATTTATCTGGAGATGTGATATCACTGATAAACTGCCTCAGTCTTACAGTTTTGTAAGTCACCAGTCATTTAGTCTTAACATATTAAGACCATTGTAAAATGCTCTTAAGACCATTTAGTCTTGATGAGTTTTGGTTTTTAAAGTGATGGGCACACAACTCAGCCACATCATTATGTATAAATTCTCTGTATATTTTCTTCTGTTTGTACAATATTACTCTAAGAGCATTATATCTGACTACTAATATGTCTTACAGAAATGTATCTTATAACAACCTAGCTGGGAATATTCCTACTGGCAATAACTTCTCGAGGTTCTCACCAGATAGGTTAGACAATCACAAACACTAAACTTGTGTTGGCATTATCAAGTTATTTTCATTACCTGAAATCTTTTGTTCCTACAACTAATGTATGATTTATCTGCAGCTTCATAGGAAATTCTGGTATTTGTGGCTATTGGGTTGGTTCTCCTTGTCATGTATCTCATCCAACCGAGCGAGGTAAGCATACCTTGGAGTGTGGCTATATATTTTCACCCTTCTTAGGTAGAAGAATGAGCAGCCATGAAACTTCATATATAAACTTCATATATAGTATTTCAGTTGGGAAATAGCTTACGTATCTTAAAAGTAGGTCTGGAATTAATTGCTATACTTTCAATGATTTGCAAAATCTATATCCTCGCCTTGAAGGCAGGCATTCTCTTTTAAAACAAAGCCTGTGTACTCTCTGCCCTCTAAAATTTCAAGTAGATAAATATGCTGCAGAATGTTGTTCCTTGAACTAATTGAGAATGTCTGCTGTTGCATTTTCTTTTGGGATTCAGTACGAAGATACAGTAAAACATGCCAGTTTGAGTTTGTGGTCTGACACACTAGTTCTTAAAACCATAAAAAGGAGAAAAGAAGGTTCATGGTTAATTTCTGATTATATTTTTTGGGAAATGGCAACTTGTACTGGTCCAACACTTAAAACTTGGCAGAGGGAAAAAAATAGAGGGAGAATGGATCATGAAACTGTGAGAATATTGTGTATATATGTATATATGGTAGTGTAGTGAGATTGTGATTCGTTTCCTTTTTAGTCTTAGGGTTAGGAATACTATATAATCAGATGTATCCTTTGTATTTTTTATCAATTGAATATATAATTTCATTCAAAAATCTTGCATGGTATCAGAGCTGTGTTCGGAATCCTACCCTTTGATTTTTGGTTTGAAGTTTCTCTTTCTGGTTGATTGATCGAAGCTCTAATCTCAAATTCCTGGTTTGTCAATCGAAATTTTCTCCCAGGTCGTGACATTAAGCTGTTCTCTCGCTCGACTTCTCTCGTTCTCTAGTTCATTCTATCTGAAGGTGTGGCCTAGTCGTTCGAGCCTCTGGTTTGAGGTTGTGCATCATCTGGTTTGTCGGAAGTCGAGTTGACCCATTTGCTTCTGTTTATCACGATCCATCGAGTCGTTTGACTCATCTTGCTATTCTGAATCTCGGTTTGATCGCTTGACCATCTGGGTGAGTTTTCTGGTTCAGTTAGGTCGAGAGACCAAAACTTTGTGGCCCTCTTCCTCTTCTCGCGATCACTCCGTCTCTGTCTCTCTCTCTGTTCGTGATTCTCTGAAGGATTTAAAAAAAAAAAAAAACCTCTTATTTACAGTTTGGCCCATCTGTTATTTAATTATTATACTTCAACTTGTTAGTTAATTAGTTCATTACAATGTCCAATGATAAGATTGTTAGGCCTAAAAATAGGTCACTGGCTTCAGATGAGTGTGTCTTCTGCCATCAAAGGGGCTATTGGAAGTACCACTGTCCCAAGAAGGGACGTCTGCTTGCTTAATCTTTTCAGCAATCTCAAAACCTATTACAGGCTCCTTCTGTTGCATATATTGCATTTGTTCCGGCTTCTAATCCTGACTTGGCTTCCTTGACTGCTCAGATTAGTCAGTTTCAACATATATTGTCTACCTCTAAGTCATCCCCGTCTGCCTCCATTGTTTCCTCTCTTCATTTAGGTTTGCTTGGATCTTCTTCAGGTATTTCTTCATCTGTCTGGATTTTTGACTCTGGTGTCTCTCATCATATGACTCTCAATCTCGCTTTACTTCAAAATTGTACTACTCCCTCTTTTCCTATTACTGTCAATACTGCTAATGGGTCTGGTATGTTTGTTGTATCTATTGGGTTTGTTCTACCGTCTGCTATGTCTACTGTCTCTATTCCATCTATCCTTTATGTTCCTTAGTTATTTGTCAATTTATTATCTATCAGTCAGCTTGATGCCTCTGATTTTGATGTTATCTTTTCTTCTTCTATCTGTTCTGTGCAGGATTGGATGTTTAGGCAACAGATTGGGACCGGTCGTAGAGTTGGAGACCTCAATGTGGTGGAGAGCTTGCATCTGCTTATGGCAACCTCTCTGACTGTCATTTCCTCGTTTCAGTTAGATTCTCTGTCTAGTTCTTTCTACTTGTGGCATTCTAGATTAGAGCATTAGTCTGCTGATCGCTTACGGTCTTTAGCTTAGTCTGGTATATTAGGTAAAGTTTCTCTTAGTGAACTTACTGAATATCGGGGGTGTAAACTTGTCAAAATGACAGCCTTACTTTTTCATAAAAGTACTTCTATATCTGATATACCATTTTTTTTAGTTCATACTGATGTTTGGGGCCCTTCTCCTGTTCTTACCAAAGGGGGTTCTGCCTATTATGTATCATTTGTTGATGACTGCACTCGTTACACTTGGGTTTATCTTATAACTCGTAAGTCTGACTTTTACCAAATATACCGTACTTCCCAGTTTATGGTCACTACACTGTTTGGGTCTACTATTAAATTTTTGTGGTTTGACTTGGGCGGGGAATACTTTAAAATTGAATTTTGTGAATATTTGACCAAATTGGGTACCATTCACCAAACTTCTTGTACTGATACACCTATTCAAAATGGTCGAGTTGAGCGTAAACACCGTCATCTCTTTGAGACAGTTAGGTGTCTTTCCTTCTTTCTGGCTCCGCTCTGGCTCCGTTTCGGGGTGAGGCAGTTCTTACTGCTGCTTTTCTTTTCAACCGTATGTTTACCCCCCTTCTTTCTGGTCGGTCTCCTTATGAGGCTCTGTTTTCTTAACTTCCCAAATACTCCGTCCTTCGTGTGTTTAGGTCTGCTTGTTTTGTCCTTTTACCTCCTAAAGATAAGACCAAATGTAATGCCTGGTCTGGCTTATGTGTCTTTTTGGGTTATAGTCTCACTCAGAAAGGTTATCGCTGTTATGGCCCTATTTCTTGTCGCCTTTATATCTCCCGCCATGTTGCCTTTTTTGAAAGTCTACTTTACTTTCAGCTTCCTCCTCTCACTATCCTAATTTCTAAAGAGGATTTGGTTTATATTGGTCCATTTCCTTCTGAGGTCCCGTCTAATGAGTACATCTCCATAGTTCCCCCTGAGCTTATTTCATCTTCTCCTTCACCTTTGGCTGCTTCTCCTTCGGTTTCTTCTCCTCCTCCGTTGTTAGTTTATTCTCGCTGCAACACTCCTCTTCCACTGGTTGTCTCTACCTCTACTGTTAACCCTCCTGCTTTTGACGACTTTGATCCTGCTGTACACCGATATCCTACTCGAGCGCGTCATCCTCCAAACAGGTTGGGTTGGTCCAATACATGTTTTTTTATTGCCTATCGTACTTTTTTGTCTGCTATTCACTCTTTTTCAGAACCTCAGTCTTACAAGGAGGCTTGTTAGGATCCTCATTGGGTTCAAGCTATAGAGGATGAGTTGTCTGTTTTACAGAAAGCTAATTCTTCGGAGTTGGTTCCTTTGCCTGCTAGTAAGAATCTGGTTGGTTGTAAATGGGTCTACAAAGTCAAGACTCATTCTGATGGTTCTCTTGAGTGTTACAAAGCTCATCTGGTTGTCAAAGGTTTTTCACAGAAGTATAGTATTGATTATGAGGAGACTTTTGCTCCTGTTGCCAATATGACTACTGTTCGTACTTTAATCTCTGTTGCCGCTATTCGTTCTTGGCCTCTTTATCAAATGGATGTTAAGAATGCTTTTCTTAATGGCCATCTCACTGAGGATGAGGAGGTTTACGTGCGTCCTCTCCCTAACCTTCATCATTCCTCTAGATAGGTTTGTCGCCTTCGGCGTGCTCTGTATGGTCTGAAGCAGTCTCCTCGTGCTTGGTATGATCGCTTTCGGATTACTATTACTGAGTTTGGGTTTCATCCTTGTGCCCAGGACTCTGTTTTATTTCTTCTCCACACCTCTGTTGGGTTTGTTGCGTTATTATTGTATGTGGATGATATGATCATCATTGATTCTGACTCTTCTACTATATCTATGGTCAAACAGCATCTTTTCTGCACCATTAAAATGAAAGATCTGGACCCATTGCGGTATTTTCTTGGTATTGAGGTAGTTTCTTCTCTCAAAGGTTACTTTCTATCTCAGGCCAAGTATGCCAATGAGGTTATTCATCGTGCTGGTCTCACTGACACTAAGATTTTTGATATCTCCATTGAGCTTAATGTAAAGCTCAACACTACTGATTGTGTTCTTCTGGATGATCTTACTTTATATCGAGAGCTTGTAGGTTGCTTAGTCTATCTGACCGTTATTCGTCCTAATTTTTCCTATGTTGTTCATGTGGTTAGCCAGTTTGTCTCTACTCCTCGCTCCACACATTGGTTCGGACTCTTCACTAGCTTCGAGGTATTATATTTTGGGGTTTACTATTGTTCTCTACTTCCTCTCTGGATTTAGTGGCCTATGCTGATTCTGATTGGGCTGGTGATGTTACTGATCGCAAGTCCACGTCTGGTTTTTGTATGTTTTTTGGAGATTCTTTGATTTCTTGAAAAAGCAAGAAACAAATTGTTGTTGCTTGCTCTACTGTCGAAACTGAGTATCGTGCTATGGCTCATGCTACTGTTGAAGTTGTCTGGCTTCGTTGTCTTCTCTCTGACTTGGGCATCCCTCAATCTTCTCCAACCTCCCTCTATTGTGACAATAGCAGTGCTATTCAAATTGCCCATAATATTGTCTCCCATGAGTGGGCCAAGCACATTGAAATTGATTATCATTTCGTTCGGCTGCATCTGCAGTCTGGCTCTCTCTCTCTTCCTTTCGTCTCTTCGGCTCTGCAACTTGCTGACTTCTTTACCAAGACTCGCACCATTGCCCGGTTTCAATTTCTTCTTGGTAAACTCTCAGTGTTTTCTGCTAAAACACTTTAAGTTTGAGCGGGGGTGTGAGAATATTGTGTATATATGTATATATGGTAGTGTAGTGAGATTGTGATTCGTTTCCTTTTTAGTCTTAGGGTTAGGACTACTATACAATCAGATGTATCCTTTGTATTTTTTTATCAATTGAATATATAATTTCATTAAAAAATCTTACAGAAACTATAATGGATGATAGACATGTAACATTAAATTAATTTTTTCAATCATGATTGTCACATGTCGTACACACACAAATATATATATATATATATATGCATGATCAGAGTGCAACAAACTTGTTTTCATCAAAGAGAGAGAAACTAAAATGGCTGAGAGAGATGTAAGATTAAATTAGTTATTTTTCAATAATCATTGTCACGTGTTATACTTGTTCAAAATAAAAAATAGTCATATGCATGATCGGAGTGGCAAAAAATTATGCTCGTTGCATCTTCACTGGCTAATTCATTTCAGTTGCTCAGTCTGAGAATGAGCTTCTTGTTTATGCAGTCACAATTTCTAAAGCAGCTATACTAGGGATTGCTCTGGGTGCCCTGGTGATACTCCTCATGATCTTAGTGGCAGCATGCCGGTCGCACAATCCTACACCTTTTCTGGAAGGATCACTAGACAAACCAGGTACTTGTCATGTGTTATGCAAACATTTATTTTATGAAAAAATATTACATGGTGGATGTAACAGAATTGATCCGTGGTTAAAGATGGTTATAATTGATCCACAGTTAAAGATGGCTCAACTAGGATTGATTTTTTCACTAAAAACTGAACAAGCCAATTGATACACTTAAATAAGGAAATCTTGTGGTCCGTAGTGTTGACATGATTTGTAATGTTATGTCCCTAATTTGTATAGAATGAATACAGAAAACCAGATGCATAAGGTTAAAGTTATGTTACACTGTTGCTTTGCATAAGGTTAAAGTTGTATATATGATGGTTTTATGTAAATAACCTAAAATGATTGATGAATCTAATGATTATAGATTCTCATTGGCTACTGAATCATGTGCCTTTGTTGACAAACAGTTAATTACTCGTCACCGAAGCTTGTGATCCTTCACATGAACATGGCACTTCATGTGTACGATGATATCCTGAGGATGACAGAGAACTTGAGTGAGAAGTATGTAATTGGCTATGGTGCATCAAGCACTGTGTACAAGTGTGTTCTTAAAAATTGCAAGCCAGTGGCAATTAAGAGACTGTATTCCCAATACCCACAGTGCCTAAAAGAATTTGAGACAGAGCTTGAGACAGTTGGGAGCATCAAGCATCGGAATCTTGTCAGTCTTCAAGGTTATTCCTTGTCCCCATCTGGGAACCTTCTCTTCTATGACTACATGGAAAATGGCAGTCTATGGGATCTCCTTCACGGTGAGTTTTTTAAGATGTTTGTTATGTAGAAATTTGCGTGTCATGATCATGTAAGAGCCTTGTGGTGAATTGCTCTTAAACCACATCACGTCTAACACACAATGCAATAGTATTATTTTATCATTTGCGGAAGCATAATCACCACATTAATTTTTTGGATTCTTTTGTGATTGACCCTTTTGGGGCAGTAGAGAATGGAGTGGTCCATTATGGACAATGCATTTGAGGAGGTGTTTAGGTACATTGATGGTAGCACTCCTGAAGTTCAGTATTGAATTGCTAGCTCCCCTTCATTTACATGTTCCATTCCCTCTGATCTGTTCTCTACAATCCAAAGGGAAATTTGAACCCTTGAAATACCTTACATTATAGAGAGACCTTAGTGAAGTTCTGCTATAATTCTGTAACAGCTGAATCATTAGAGATATACATATTTTGTGCACCTTCTAGGCCCTACAAAGAAGAAAAAACTGGACTGGGACACTCGTCTTCGGATAGCACTCGGAGCAGCCCAAGGTCTTGCATATCTTCACCATGATTGTAGCCCTCGCATAATCCATAGGGATGTGAAGTCATCAAACATTCTATTGGACAAGGATTTTGAGGCCCATCTCACTGACTTCGGCATTGCCAAGAGTTTATGCACCTCCAAGTCTCATACTTCTACTTACATAATGGGTACGATTGGTTACATTGATCCAGAATATGCACGTACTTCCCGTCTCACCGAGAAGTCTGATGTCTACAGCTATGGGATTGTTCTACTTGAGTTGCTGACTGGAAGAAAAGCAGTGGACAATGAATCCAACCTCCATCATCTGGTCAGTTTTTTTTACATCTTTATAAAGCCAAATTTGTATCTAAAATGGAAAATATTTGTGCTAGCACTAGAATTAACATGAGATGATATAGGTTGATTTTGCTTGATATTTTTTATCTAGTATATTGGGGTTGCATTGGAAATGTAAATGCCACACTACTGTTGTGTGTCTGTATGTTAGCTATATGGATCAGAAAGATGTGTAGTTTAGCAATCAATTTTATATATTTATGCCACACTGCAATAATTTTTGTAGTTTCTAGTTTTAGATGCCTATTTGTATGGCTATTATTTCTTCTCGCTTTGTCATCCTTTTGAATATGTATTCCAGCATTATAAACTGTTGCAAAGAGGAAAAGAGCTTTATAACTGGGTTTTGAGAGCTGAAGCCTGGCATTTGCTTTTTCCATTTGCTAGTACTAAGGCCTGGCCATGTTACTATCCATGCTTTTATCTTTGAGCTGATTGAATTGCAAATTGAAATTGTTATTTTAGGTGCTGTCTGAACTGGATGTGAGATGGAATAAATGGTTATTTTGATCGACTTTTTTCTTCTTTGTTACAGATTTTATCAAAGACAGCAAACAATGCAGTCATGGATACTGTTGATCCTGAGATATCGGCCACGTGTAAGGATCTTGGGGCAGTAAAGAAAGTATTTCAGCTTGCGCTTCTGTGCACCAAAAGACAGCCGTCAGATAGGCCAACAATGCATGAAGTGGGACGTGTCCTTGTAAGCCTTATGCCATCCGACACAACACCAAAACAATTGACCCCAACTACACCCACACCAACAACCCTCCCATCTGCTAAGGTGCCCTGCTACATGGATGAATATGCAAATCTCAAGACTCCACACTCGGTGAACTGCTCATCCATGAGCACCTCAGATGCTCAGCTCTTCCTTAAATTTGGAGAGGTAATATCTCAAAACAGTGAGTGAAGACGCAGCAGCAGAAGAAGAATCAAAATGTAGAGGTACCATCTATTATCTCTCAAGAAAGTAGTGTAGTGTGTAGTGGGGAGAATCAGAATGTGACAATTTTGTATAAAAATTTTAGTAACCAATTATTGTGGGTAGGAAGATGGAAAGGTTAGACAGCTATTTTACAGATTTTAAATGTCTAGTGCGCCCAATTGATGTATCTCTGCTGTACTGTATCAAATTATTGTAGTAGTCCGGACTCTCTCTGGCATGGGCATTTGTTGTATGGGACCACTGGTTCTGGGCTCTGGCATGGACTGTTTGGCGGTTTCAGGCTGACACTCTGAGCTGAGAGCTGCAGTTATCTGTGTGCTCTCAGCAATAATACGTTGCCTTGCCTTGCCTTGCCTTGCCGAGCCGAGCCTGGTGGGACCTGCAGTAACTTTTTTGAGATGTTGATGATGGAGGTCATTTCTAAGGGAATGGCTTCCCTCTAGTCTGATCACTGGAGGGTACTATTGGGTCTGTGAGGGTCTATCACGGGTTTGTTTTGATAATCCGAACCGTGCAATATGTAGAACTCGTCGAGTATTATATGTTTGTAAAAAATCATGTTAATCGGATATTAATGGTTATGTGATCAAATTAGTTTTATATGAAAAAAAATGGACGGTTAAAAATAAATGGCTTATAGTACTCGATATTCGATCAACATGACTTTCACCTTCCATTTTTTTCATACAAAAGTGATTTGATCACATAGCTATCGATTAACATAAAAAGGTTTGGATTATTGAAACGGGATTCGTGGTGACTCTCACTGGCCTAACAATACCCTCCAGTGATCGGGAGCCATTTTCTTTTTTATTAAATAAATAATAAACAAAAGAAGGGTGCCACGTGTCATGGTTTGTACCACCTATCTCCGACGAACGCAAGGTCAATGATACTTTGTGTGGGATATCAGAAGAGCCCATTACCTGTAATCCAATTCTTTATTTTAGTCAACTAGCTATTCCACTGTAGGATTGCTTGCAATATTTACAATAAAAATTAGTAATATTAGAAATGTCAAAAAAATTTATAACATTTTGTCAAATTTGATAGAAGTTTTGAAGTCTTTAATATTTTTGTAAAAGTTAAAAGGGCATATGATATGCACTTATTGTACGGTTCATAGCGTGCCACATCATAAAAAGTGACTTGTTAAACTGGTCATCGAACAGGTTATATGAAATAATCATAACTTTGTTCAATTATCATGACAATACTATAATTAATCATAACAATGTTATAATATACACCATGGTGACAATGACTCATAACAAATGTAATTATTTTCAACAAATTATCATAACATTTAAATCGTAACATTTTTTTATCATGATTCACCATGACAAATCATGACTTTAGGTAGTACACAAATCATAATTTTTACTAATGAATCATAACCATAACACGTTTTTTTATTTTTTATGTTTTTTTCATTTTATCAAAGAAATTTAGAAAAACAAGAGAGGCAAACAGAACTATATCGAGATACTGATTAAACCTGATAAAACAGATAGAGGATTTGTCACCCAATCCCATGGTAGTCGTTCATGAAGACAAGCATTGGCAATCTAACTAGCCCCCATGTTTGAAGATCTAGGACTCCGTCGAAAAGAGACACTCCTCTGAGAGCTTTTGATGTCACTGAAGATTGCACCACATTCCTATGGAGGGACACTTTCAGAAACACTCATATGGATAACAGATTGGTCATCCTCCTCAATTACCACAGTTGCTGGACTACATTCTTGAGCCAAAATACAGGCCCATCGACATGCTACAGCTTCTTCTTGGAGTGGAGATGATATGTGGATTTTCTTTGTAACACCATTCACCAAATTCCCAACTGAATCCTGCAGCAACTGCTGCCTGTGTTGTTCCTCTTTTAGAAACCAAATCAAAATTTACTTTGAAATTTCCAGAAGCAGGAGGGATCCAATTGCCCACTTCGGCAGAGGACCAAATAGTGGGCCTTTGGGATTGCCCATTAAGGCTAGCAGCTTCTTCAAATTCCTGTATAGCCACTACAGCTCGATGTAAAGTTGAGGAGGGCTTCACTGGGATATGATTAAACACAAAGTTGTCAAGATCTTTCCAAATAAACCAACTTAACTAAGCTACCTTGTTGAAAAATGAATTTCAATCCTCATCATTCGAGAACTAATCCATCATCTCACATGACCAATGCAATACAGATTGAATTTCACCACAATTCACTCTATAATTTAAATCACTCCCAAACCAGATGGATTCCCACATTTTGCTGCACCGCTATCGTTCATGGCTGGTGTGGTCGGCCACATTTTGCGGGTGTGCATTTTTTTTTTTAATCTATGTATTTATGTCATGGTTTACAATCAGGTACACATGTATAGCATATGCTGGTTTTTGCTTTATTTCTTCATCTTGTAGCATGTTTGCACTATCTGTATTATCTTCTCATACTTAGCAGCAATGATATTTAACTTTTTTTTCATCCATACATCACTTTCCATACTTCTTTATTAAATATGAATTTCTTGGGAAGAATTATATGCATTAGATAGTTTTCCAACACCTTAGATGGCTCATAGATGCATCATTAGGACGCAAGTTTCAGTGGATTAAGAGAAGTCCTTTGAGATGCATCAAACAGAAAGAAAATTTTGATAGAAATCATCTTAGGCTTTTCCTGCAAGTTGATGGGTTGCTTATTCTTACTTCTTGAGACTTTTGAGTGCTTTAGATACAAACCTCATATGTCATGCAGAATTCAAGGCTTTTTGTTAGCTGGCACTAAACGAGAGAATTGTGTCAAGAGATCTATTAGCTCAAGGAGGATCCTTCAAATGGAGGCTGATTTGTTTTATTTATTTATTTTTTGCGGATGTGAGGTTGAGACGGATTCCCACATTTTGCTGCATTGTTGTTGATTCAATACAATGGACTAACATCAAACAACTAAATCTACACACCATTTGCAAATGAGATTATTGTATCCAAAATGACCCCGCATAAAAACGTCAACAGCAATAGCACCAAGCAGAACAATAGTAGAGGGTTTTGACAAAACAACGTAAGGGTTTCTGGGATGAGAACAATCAATAAAGAAAAAAAAATTAACCGGTTGAAAAGTTATTCATTTTTTTTGATAAAATTATTTAATGGTTCAAATTAATTTATATATATCCAATGGTTTAAAAGTAAGGTGTATATAATGTGCACAATTTAATCATGTGCACATCCTAACAGCCCCCTAAGATTCAACCTAGTCAAATTTAAAATTATGATTTGAGTTTGATGTGATTGGATTATAATAAAGATGATTACTGATCATGTTTAATTATAAATTCAATTTCACGAAGTCCTATTTTTTGGGGTTCAGTTATTTGCACCGCAGATTTTGCTATAATAATTTATGAGTTATGTTAGAGCATCTCCAATGGTTGTTGCTATATTGGGGTTGCTATTGCTATAATTTGGCAATGAATAGTGTTATTTTGCCAAATTATAGCAATGGTGCTCCAATGGTCATTTGCTATTTTTGGCAAATCTCAACCAACTTTCTCTCCAACTTTGTAGGTGTTGTTTGGATATAGGTTTTTTGTGATTTTATTTTTATTTATTTTTTGTCTTTTGTGACATTTTTTTATCTGTTTGTTAAAAAAATTAGACAAATATAAAAAATAAAAAAAAATGAAAAATTGGAAAAAAAACAAAATTTGTTTGATTAATTCACCCCACCAAAAAACATATCACTACATATTTAATAAATTTTTTTAACTACACATAAAAAATAAACAATCACCAATTATCCATCAACAACCAACCACCAACAACCATCCATTATTAACCCAGCATTTTATCTTTTTAATGACAGTTAATGTCAGTTAATGTCTTTTTATTCCAATAAAATGTTCTTCATTTAATGTCTTTTTATTTTACAATGTCTTTTAATGTTAGTTAATGTCTTTTTTTACATTGTGAAGTACAAAATACTCAAAAATGTTTCTTAAAACAACATGGAATTTCATTAAAAATTACATCAAAAAATAAAGACTAACATTTATCCCGTAACTACATAAAAAAAGACTAACAATTACATCAAAAATAAAAATGATATTGCAAAAAATAAAGACTAACATTTATCCCGTAACTACATAAAAAAAGACTAACAATTACATCAAAAATAAAAATGATATTGCAAAAAATAAAGACTAACATTTATCCCGTAACTACATAAAAAAAGACTAACAATTACATCAAAAATAAAAATGATATTGCAAAAAATAAAGACTAACATTTATCCCGTAACTACATAAAAAAAGACTAACAATTACATCAAAAATAAAAATGATATTGCAAAAAATAAAGACTAACATTTATCCCGTAACTACATAAAAAAAGACTAACAATTACATCAAAAATAAAAATGATATTGCAAAAAATAAAGACTAACATTTATCCCGTAACTACATAAAAAAAGACTAACAATTACATCAAAAATAAAAATGATATTGCAAAAAATAAAGACTAACATTTATCCCGTAACTACATAAAAAAAGACTAACAATTACATCAAAAATAAAAATGATATTGCAAAAAATAAAGACTAACATTTATCCCGTAACTACATAAAAAAAGACTAACAATTACATCAAAAATAAAAATGATATTGCAAAAAATAAAGACTAACATTTATCCCGTAACTACATAAAAAAAGACTAACAATTACATCAAAAATAAAAATGATATTGCAAAAAATAAAGACTAACATTTATCCCGTAACTACATAAAAAAAGACTAACAATTACATCAAAAATAAAAATGATATTGCAAAAAATAAAGACTAACATTTATCCCGTAACTACATAAAAAAAGACTAACAATTACATCAAAAATAAAAATGATATTGCAAAAAATAAAGACTAACATTTATCCCGTAACTACATAAAAAAAGACTAACAATTACATCAAACGTTGGATTATATAATCCAACGGCTCATCCATCCATATATCTAGAACAATCCGTGCATTATCTATCTTCCTATATACCCTCTGGTTTGAGCCATATCTATCTATCTATGACACCAAGCTTTCTCTCTCTCTCTCTCTCTCTCTGTCTCTCTCTCTCTTCCTCTTTGTGTGCTCTCTCTTCATTGCCCTCACCGATCTTCATCTCTCTCTCCTCTTTTCTCATCTCCTCTCCTCAAATCTTCTAAATCAAACCCTAACAAAGCC